ATTTGCCCATTTAATAATGTATAGCTATTAAAGTTGGGGTAGGCAGAAACCTGGAAAAGGCAAAAAAAAAAAAGAAAAAAGATTTTGAAATTCATCCTACTCCTGCAGCTCTCCCTTTTCTGTCCTAAGCCTCTCCCACCAGATCCCTCCACCTTGCTCCCAGCCGATGTGGACTGCTTCCCTGGGAGGAGAGCGGGCAGCAGCTTGGGAGACGGTGGCTGTAGATACTAAGATTCGGCCAGTGCAAACCCCACCAGCGCCCGGTGTCACAGCAGGCTAGTGGCCAGTGCCAGGTCCAACCTGTGTAACAGCAGCAACTGAAAGTTTGCTGATCTGGTGGGGAGTCAGGGCTGTGCAGTCTCCCAGAGCTGGGATTTGCACTGGCTGGATTCAGGTTACTGCAGCCACTGACAAGGGGTTTGTCCCCGGAGCTGCTGCCCTCTCTTTGCCTGGTGAGCCGGTCTGTAGCGGCGGAGAATGCGGTGAAAGACACTGTGATTCATGGCTCTAGCTAACATTAGCTACGTAACCGTCGGCATGAAGCTGCAGCTGTAAGTCTTTGGTTTCCGTTAGCAGGAGGCTAAACTATTGCAACATTTTCTCTCCATCTCTGAAATTGAGGTGTTTTGTTTCCTTTCCTTCCTTTTCCTTCCCAGACTCTCTTGTAGACTCTCTTTTTGATAGGTCAGGTTGCTTTGCAGTGTAGGCAGTTGTTGCCAGTGTTGGACTAGCAACTTTTTGCAGGTTTCTTTGCCAATGAATCAGGTTTTTGACCAAAGGAACATGCACGTGCATCTGCATTTGTATAACAGCCGATAGAAATGCCTTCTTTCTGAAAAGACTTGTGATTGGCCAAAGTCTACCATAACAGGCTAGATTTTCTAAACCTTGAAAATAGAGCCAAGAGGAGTTGCACATGTCTGGTGTTCTCTCAGTCCACCTGAATTACAATGTCCTCAAAGTTTATTGTGGGATTTTTGCCCGATGACACCAAAATGAAACTGCCTAGCCCAGCTTTAAGTCAAGATATACTGTAGGTTGCATTTTCCTATTATCACTAGTTACATGTTCTTGGTAATAAAGTTCCTTTATTCACTTTTAGCACCACATCTCTTCCTTTATACTTTGTAAATAAAAAACATAACTATTATTTTTCATAAAGTAGCCATGGACTACCTGCTACTATTAAAATACCACCAGAAAAGGTTAGAAAATGTCTCTTCACTGGAATATTAAAACTGTCTCTTTTGGGGTTCACAAAAGGCCACAGCAGACTGATTGCCTTGTTCATAGTTTAAAACCTTCCCCAGCCTCAAAGTTACTAGGGATGCACAATAATGGATTTTTTGCCGATATCCAATATGCTGATATATAATAACTTTTTTGGCTGATAATCGATACCAATATTGATATATCCACTTTCTTCCCAACCTAATTTTAGTGATCATCAGGTCTCTTCTGTAGTGGAATTAACATCATACAATGCATGCATACTCTTATCATGGTGGGCCACCAGCAGATGGAGACATGAAATACAGTGTTTTTCAATCTATGATATTCATTCATTGTGTAAAATTAGAGAAAACCGCGTTAGCTGATTCAAATAGTTCATTTTAAAGCCAGTATTGGCCAATAATGAAAATGTACTGACATTAGCGACATGTTGGCCGATTCCGATTTTAAAGCCCATTTCGGCCGATACCGATGATGCGCATCCCTAAAAGTTACTCATCCATTTCTCTTGTCTTGCTCATCACTGACGTAAGATGTTGTAGTGTTTGGCTGGGGGTCATAATGTCACACGGCTGAGCTCCTCCCCCCTCCCCAGCCTCCCCTCTCAGCCCTTCAGTGTTCTTGGCTGTGGGTGTGTATGATAACTGGAACTTGCCCTTCCTCAGCATCACCCTCCACCTGAAGATCTCCTGCCCGTCGTCTCCAGCCATGCCTATGGGCCGAGGGATGGCCTGCCCCGTGCCCCAGGTCAAGATTGAGATGGAGTCAGACTACGACTCGGACATCGACCACCACCGCCCTCGAGACATGAGCAGTGAGACCACATTATAAAGCTGAGACTCGACAGAGCAACGCACAACATAGTGTGGGCAAACTACTCGATGCAGCCAGTGCTGACCCACAGACAGTACAAGGTGGCACAGACTGACGGCTGTGAGCACACTGACACCTGAACAGAATGGCTGAAATAGGACAGACCTATCAATGCAGCAGGAGAAGTTTTAAGATGCATCTGCTTTGAAATTGGTGCAGTTTTGACAGATTTTGCTTTGAATTATATATAAAATATTAAATTTATTTCCTTATGATGTAAATGTCCATAATAACAGAGGAAATATTTATCTGTATGTGCTGTATAGGATTATATATTTGATGTGAAAATATTTATCTTTATACATACTAGCTACAGTATATTTTACTATTAATATAATGGGTCCAATTCCAAACTAATCGTGAAACCAGTATGTCAAAAATTATGTGCAATAATTTCACATCAGCCTGTGTCCACAGATTTTGATGTTGAGGCAGGAAATGTGAAAACAAGCAGCATTTTAGTGACAGAACTATTTACCACGTGGTTGTAAAGTCTACTGTGGTCTATTATATGTTAGCCTTTGCATATTTGTGTTTTGGTGTTTGTTTGTGCCTCTGATCCCAGAGAACCATCTCTCCTTCCCCTGTATCCCTCCTCTTCAACACTCCATACTTGGCACATTAACCTGGAACAAAAAGAAACAACCAAACAGTCCTGATGTTGCTGAAAAGGATCGATTTATTTTGCAAGTTGTGCGTATCGGTTTATATCTGTGTTTTTACTTTCAAAGACTCTGTATGAGACCATCTCCATCTTCCACCGCAACTCTACATGCATATGACAATAACAAGAAATGGACAGGTATAATTCATGTAATTAAAATATTATTATTCCAAAGCATGTGGTTTGTCTTCTGTTGCTTTTCCCCTTAAATCTATAATATAACTGAGTCAGTCAATGTCAGTTGGTCAATAGGAAACAGCAGAATACAGACATCCAAACAAAAATATGATAAAAACAAGCACATTATACTGGCAGTGGCAGATGAACAACTGACTTCTGGACTTTCAAACAAGGACAGAAATCAGTTAACAGTCACTGACAGGCAAAACGTGTCGGAAAAGATGGTGTACCTGAGTGTACCAAAATAATTAATTAAATCTGTCTGGAGCCACAAAATATATTTGAGCCTTATCATAAAGTTTACACAGCCTTATTAAGTCTAAATTAGCTTATCAACATTACTAATAAGTCTAATCAATAACATGTTTTACCATTAGGTGGCTACTCTGCAGTAAATTATTAATGAATCTTTGGTACCTTGCAGCGAAAGTAAACAAATCTGTCTATGCACTATTAAATTCAATATTTCCCTTCAAGACTGTTCCTTCCTGGATTTAGTATCCACAGTTAGCTTTGCTAAGGAGATTGAAGACAAGCCATCGCTCATGATGAAAATTTAGAGAAAAATCGCCAGTCCATTAACATAGCTATGACTCATATTTTAGAACTTTTTTTTAAAATTTGTTTCAGGCCTATAGGTTACACATTTTTACAAGTGGATACTGTAAGAATCACTTAAGGCCAACAGCAATGATAAATGAAAATTAAAATGTTCAAAAATAACCGTGATTCATTTTCATGTAGCCTAGTTTTTGGTCAAAGCCACAGGGAGCCATTGCAGAGGGACTCAAGAGCCGCATGAAGCTCTGGAGCCACAGGTTGCCTACCCCTGCATTAGATAACCAGCACCAAAAATGACTCTCTTAAAGCTACAGTTGTTAACTTTAAATGAAACTTTCATTATATCCTGACAGTCGTACATGAGACAGATAATCTGTCGAAAAAATAATAATCACGATCCTCCTCCTCGTAGTGTGTCTAATGGCTCCAGACGTTGGGCAGTGCTTGGTTTTCGCTCAGCTGTTTGCAACATGGCAGCCAGGTCACAAACTTTCTCAAATTACAACAAAACAGTACACTAAAATATGTTTCTGAGACTTTTAAGAGGTGAAATAGGCAATGCAGTGACAAAATCTTGAGTCATATTTGACCAGTGCTGCCTAGTTCCACTAGTTCGACATAACTGACAGCTGCATTAGAGACTCCTCTGCTCTGATTGGTTGTTTTCATTCATGTGTGGATTCTTACAAATGCCATTAGAAGCACTACGAGGAGGAGGAACATGACATATTTCTCTCACAGATTATCTGTCTCATGTACTACTGTCAGGATATAGTGAGTTTCAGCAAATATGACCATCCACAACCAACTACAGCCTGTGAAGTTTGTTTGGAAACAAAGAGAATGTTTGCCTTCAGTGTTTATCATCCAAACACACTGTGTGTATCATTACAATCTAAGAAATATGTAAAATGCAATATTCTAAATCCTGTTTGCTCAGTTCCTGTCTTCAGCAGTGGCTAAAGAGGTAGAGCTGTCATCTATCAGTTGGAAGGTCAGTGAGTCAATCATTGGCGCTTGCAGTCTACATTTCTAAGTGTCCTTGGGCAAGATACTGAACCTCCATTGTGTGATTGTGTGTGAATGTTTGTCTGATAAGCAGGTGGAACCATTTATGCTCTGAGCTCTAAGACCAGAAAGGTGCTATATAAATGCAGTCCATTGACCATTCTTCCCTGCCTTTGCTGGCACATTGCTCATTACCGCCACCAGCTGTTGGTCAGCAGAAAAGCATGAGACCAGCAGCAGTAACGCATCGTTGTCCTTGTGTATGCAAAAGGATCCACTTGTAAAATCATTGTTCTATGGTGTTACTCTTGGTCAAAAACTCCACAGTGTACCTTTAAGTATTCCCACTACTTTTAGTGACTGAATGCGACAGCAATCCCTGGCCTCATGTTACCTGATATTAAAATGATCCCAATTAGTTTCACAAAAACACATCTACAGACTTTGGGTGTTGGAACTGGTAGTCAATAAAGAGAAACTGTCAGAGTGGTTTCCCTTATCTTTAATTCTTTGGCACAAAATACGACAGTACAGTCACACTGTATATAAATATTGGGGCCTGGGCTTCATTGATCTTATTGGACTGATATTTAAGACAATAAAGTCATATATATATATACTTGTTACAAAATGATATACTACACCAAACATCTGAAACACAGAGTTATAGTACCTTTACTATTACTAATAGTATTAATTATAAATATTCATCATTCCAATTTGGAATACAGTCAAAATGTGTCAATACAGTGACCCAGTGTAGTCGTGATTATCTCAACATTCAAACTTTAGAATATCTGTCTGTTGACAGAAAATATATATTGGACAAGCCTAAATCATTTTCAGAATCATTTAATCCTTCAGCAAAATTTTAAATCCTACACACAGTGGCTTTATTAAAGGCTGACAGCAGCATGATACTTCATGTCAACACGCACGAAGTGTTCAGCAGTGGCTCGGAGGTTTTGGTGAACCCGTCAGCAAAGCCCTCCCCTTCCACCAGCGTCGGCCTCCTGTTGCACATGGGGCAAAGTTTGTTGCGTTCCTGTGAGGCTCTCATCCAGATGATGAGGTTCCAGCGCTGGCCGGAGGAGATGGGCAGGGCCCCGTGCATGTGTTGGCCCCGATGGAGAAGCCCCTCGGTCACCCTGTGTTCAACCTCTGAACACTCCGTCTCGCTTAAAGGCACCTGCCGGGGGCAACACAACCACTACCTTTAGACACAATTTAGCGTTTTTGTAGGGAAATGACTTAAAAAATCTGCTGCCATCACAGCTATTATATTCCCAGAAATACATCGTTTACACTGTAAAATCTGAAAAGTTGCTAAAAAAAATCTAGAAAGTGACATGAAAAAGGTAAATAACTATAACTTTAAGCTTAAGTTTTGTTAACATTATAAAAAAAAAGTTAAAGTAAGATCAACATGTCAAATTTTACAGTGTAGTTTGTTCAGTATTTCTAATCTGCCAGAGAAGCTGTTTCATCAGCAGACTTTCTTATCTTAGAAATTATGTTACGTTCACTACCGAAGGGGAATTTTTGGAGCAAAAGTAATAATATCATTAGCCGTAAGTAAAAAATAACTGGATTGAAAGGTCACACTTCTTGTCTCTAAGATGAAAATAGTCATGAATAAATTAACATGAATCATTTCTCAGAGGTATGTCCTCTCTGATAAAAAACAAAAGATAGCTTTTTTTCTGCAGGCCATTCCTGCAGGTACACTGACCAATAATTGGTGAAATAGAAATTAAGGATTTATAATGCACAAATAGACATTTAGAAAAAAATCTTCAGCATCATAATAAAATCTTACCTGCAGGAAAATCTTTTTGGAACTTGCCATTAGATAACATAGATCTGACACAAGCAATGTTGTATTTAAAAAATAAAAGAAAAAATATTTAAATAATACTGTGAGTGTGATAGTATTATAAGCATTATCTTCACCTGTCTCATATCACCAAAATACAGGTTGCCCTCTGTGAAGTCCTTGCCCAGGGAAACATTAAGGGTGACTTCTGCGTTGTCGTAGTGGTAGCTCAGGTCCAAGTCCTCATTCATGTCATATTTAACAACAAAGGCCTTGTGGCTGTCCAGGCAGCGCCCCCCACAGTCCGGGTACAGCAGGGAGGTGAGCGGATGCAAGTAGAGCTCACGGAGGGGCGTGATGAAGCCCTCGTCAAAGCCCAATTCATTCAGGAGGATCTGGAAGAAAGAGAAAATGAGAAGAACATCATGAATAAAAGAACTCAACCCTCATGTTTGATTCCCTGCCCTTATGACTATAAAGCTCTTTCATGGCTTTGACATTTTATATTTTCCTAAGTACGGGTTTTAGCTGAAGGCTTCGATCTTGGCTAAAAAATATATCATGCACTGAATTTTTAAAGACATGCAGTATATGCACGTTACTGTAAAATGAGCCTTACTTTCTCAGAGAATCCATCAAAGTCCCTGCATATACCTGCCTGGAATACAACTCTCACATATTTCAGAGTTCTACATATTTCATGACTGAGGAGCACAGTAGGCAGAGGATCCAAATGTCACGGCACAATAAAGATGAAATATGAATGAGGGGTGATTAAATGGCACTTTAAAGGGTTTCAGCCTGTAGGAGCGCATACATTACCCCATAATGGTTCATGGTGTTGGGTCTTCCTTTAGGGGCGGAGGACTGCTCAAAGTGCTCCAGCTCCTCCATCAGCTCCTCACAGAAGCTCTTCTCAAACACAGAAAAGCGATAAACCCTCGCAGCTTCAATAGAAAGATGGGAATCAGTGCAGCATTTTAATACATCAATATAGTGTTATGTAACTGTGATAATATGGTACAATCAATCTAAACCAACGAAAGCATGGTAGAAGTTACTTTCATCTTGGTCACAAAGAAGTTCCTCAGTCGTGCCTTTTACGAAGAAATTTTCATGACTCATAATTCAAAGTTTAGGACCATTCTCAAGACCATATCTTAGAGATATTATATATAACTGCCCTGTGCTCTAACTCCGTGTTTCTCAAATGGAGGAATGGGTACTAGGGGTACTTTAAAGTACTTCAGTGAGTGCATAATTTAGAGGGTAACTAAACCACCACTTTTTGTCAGCTTAAAACCAATGAATACAGGTAGTTAGCAGTGTTGTTGATGGATTCAGGTCCAAATCTAGACATTTTTATGCAAAATACTGGAATTTTATTATAAATATGCATCAATAGTGACTGCCCTCTACTGGTTGAACCCAACTATAGCAACTGAATTTTGCTATTGGCTGATCTGGTGGCAGGTGACGTGTCCATAGCTGCCTCTCCTGCAGCAAAACAGAGTAACTGTGACTGTCTTTTGTTTTGTATTCTTGGGTAGAGGATATGGATGTATGATGAGAACTGGATACGGTATTGGAGGCGGGGCCTTGTTTATTCCTATGAAAGTTGCTCAGTGGCGCATGAAGCCAAAAAATTCAACTTCCTGGGTATAAAATTATCCAGATCTCCTGCATTGTTTGCATCATTTGGCACATAGAGCAAGTGCACCAGAGAGTTCTGTTGGCCGAGTGACTTCCTGTTTAGCCCTTCACTAACTTTAATAGTGATAAAATTATTGAATCGTGCGGATCTTCTAGACTTCAGAAATGTTATCGGATCAAAAGGATTAAATCCTGATACAGGGCTCTAGACTATGACCAAAATAGATGCATATGTGAACGTTTTTTTAATGAGTGTGTGAGTTACATTTTCATGTGGTCACATTTACACACCTCTTACTCGAACAATGAGAGGAACTGAAAGAACTTTGCAGCTCACCTGCCTCTTCCTCCAAAAAGTCTCCCAGACCTTCTTCACTGATATCACTGCCTCGACAATACTCAACAATCTGCTTGAACTTCGGTGCGAGGTAGGACTCCTGAGAAGAGGTGGTGTGCGAGTGAGCCTTAGCGAGGTGTTAATGACACATTATTAATGACATGATGAGCAGTGGCTGATGCAGAATGTACCTGCAGATGGTAGACATGAGGATGGAGAGGCTGGTACACGTCTTTTATAGCAGCTGCTCTCTCAGCAGATGTCACACCTAGACGCCTTCGCCTGTCCACTTCCTGTGAAATCTAAAGGGAGCAGTCATGCAGTTAGGCTACAGTGTAATGTGAGTGCAGAGAAAAATGCCTATCGAGATTTTCTGGATTCCAAGGTGAAGTCTTTAATTATGACCAATATACATACTGATCAAGACATTCTACACTTCAAACTACATTTGTCAGTGCTCTATGGTGGACAAAGTGTATAATGGACCTCACACCTAGTTTGACATTACAGTACTAAGATATCTTGTTACTTATCAGCCAGCATACACAATACCGATATACAGTATCAGTCGATATATCAATATCAGCTGCCAATTTATCAGTCTATCGATCAAATGTCTTGTTCTACACTGCTCAAAAAAATTAAGGGAACATGTAAATCACACATCAGATCTTGATAAACAAATTATTCAAGTTGAAAATCTTTACTGACATACATTGTATAATTTGTTGAGAACAAATTGACATAACAGTCAGTGGAAACCAAAATCATCAACCCACTGAGGGCTGGATTCAAAATCACACTTAAAAAACAAATTAAAAAATTTAAATCACAGGCTGATCCAACTTCTGTGAATTTTATCACACTAACTCATAATGTGACTCAGTGTGTATGGCCCCAGCGTGCCTGTATGCAGTCCTGGACATGGACATCTGGACATGCTCCTGATGAGTCAGCGGATGGTTTCCTGAGAGGTCTCCTCCCAGACCTGGATCAGGGCATCAGTGAGCTCCTGGACAGCCTGTGGCGGTACATGGCGGCGTTGGATGCATGATACATAACATCCCATAGGTGCTCAGTCAGATCTAGGTCAGGGGAACAGGAGGGCCAGTTAATGGCATCAATGCCTTTGTCATCCAGGAACTGCCTACATACTCTGGCCACATGAGGCCGGACATCGTCCTGCACCAGGAGGAACCCAGGGCCCACTGCACCAGCGTAAGATCTGACAATCACTCTGAGGATTTCATCGCGGTACCTAACTGCAGTCAGGATACTGTTGGCTCTGACATGGAGGTCTGTGCGATCCTCCAAGGATATGCCTCCCCAGACCATCACTGACCCACCACCAAACTGGTCATGCTGGATGATGCTACAGGCAGCAAAATGTTAACCACTGCATCTCCAAACTCTTTCATGTGTGTCAGGTGTGCTCAGTATGAACCTGCTCTTATCTGTGAAGAGAAAGAGGCACCAGTGGCAGACCTGCCAATTCTGGTACTCTCTAGTGAATACCAATCCAGCTGCACGGTGCTGGGCTGTGAGCACAGGTCCTACTAGAACAGTGGTCCCCAACTGGTCCAGCCATGGGGTACAGATTTTTCCTTAGTCATTAGTTCAATGTCCACACAGTTTAATACATTCAGCATCCTACTTTTGTTTGGCCAAGTCATTGAGCTAGTTTGCTGTCTCTGTCAAGTATCTCTCCGATAGTCATTTATTCTACAGCAGGAAAAGGCACTTCAAAATGAAAGCTCTGCCAGAAATTCACTGTACTTCAACATAAAGTGTGGTTTTTTTTTTTTTTGTTTTTTTTTACAAATTTGACAAGTTCTAGAGTCACTTGCGGTCCATTTAGAATGGACCCGCGACCCACTAGTTGGGAACCACTGCACTAGAGGACGTTGGGCCCTATGCAACCCTCATGAAGTCTGTTTCTGACAGTTTGGTCAGAAACATGCACACCAGTAGCCTGCTGGAGGTCATTTTGTAGGGCTCTGGCAGTGCTCATCCTGTTCCCCCTCAGACAAAGGAGCAGATACTAGTCCTGCTGCTGGATTGATGCCCTTCTATGGCCCTGTCCAGCTCTCCTTGTGTAACAGCCAGTCTCCTGGTATCTCCTCCATGCTCTTGAGACAGTGCTGGGACACACAGCAAACCATCTTGCAACCACACATAATGGATGTGTCATCCTGGAGGAGCTGGACTACCTGTGCAGTCTGACTGGGCTGCAGGTACCACCTCATGCTACCAGTAGTGAAGAGGACACTAGCAGAGCACAAAACTAGAGAAGAATCAGTCAGGAAGGATAAGGAGAGAGTAACTGTCTGTGGACACCAGATGTAAAAACCATTCCCTTTTTGGTGGTTGTCTTGTTTTTGCCTCTCCATTGCACCTGTTGTCGCTTTCATTTGCACCAAAGCAGGTGAAACTGATTCACTATCACTTGTACTTCCTGAATGGTCAGATTAATTCCCTGTTTAACCGACTTGGTGTTATACTGTGATGATTAAGTGTTGCCTTAATATTTTTAAGCAGTGTTTCAGAACAACACTGTACAACACGAAAATTACATCTAACAGGTTAACAGAAGATTAAGAAAACCAACAAATATTCACTTTAGAAGAAAATAAAAGTAGTGATAAATTGGATGCATTTTACTTAAGAAAATTCAAGTGACAAAATTGTTTAAGCACACACAGCTCAAACACATGACCACTTACTTTCTTACCTTGTTGAACACATCCTCAAACTGTTGATCCGTCACGCAGCCAAGCCTCATAAGCAGCTGCGCAGCAATAATAAACATACAATAAACAGTTATTAGAAGAGTGTAATAACCGGGTATGTCACTCCAAATTATATTTTTGTTTTAAAAAATGTATCTGACTTCCACTTACTGTTTGATAATCCTGTCTGAACTGCTGCTCGGATAAGAAGCTGACATGGAGCTTGTAGTCCTTCAGGTAAATATTATCAGTGGTGAAACAGTTACAAAAGTAAAAGTGAAGATTTTTGTCTTCCTCGTTTGTCATTATTGCATAAAATATACAGAAAAACGTAGTGTAATAACACCAATAACTGACAAGCTGCACGGCTACTTCTGTGCTAACAAACAACAACAAACATTACACTTCCGGTTCGAAGACGTCAAAATAAGAGCGTCATTTCCACAACTACACCCGTCAAATTAAAATTTAAATGTATTTGATTTAATAAATACCAATTTAAAATCAAATGTATATTCCCTATAAAGTATTTGAAGGCAATGAATGTACGCGCCTAAAACATATTTGAACTTTTGTTACTTATGCGTTGGTACCAATAGTATCTTGCTGACAGTTGTAGTTACGCATCGTGACCACTAGAGGTCAGAAACGCACTATACACGATTGCATGGACAATCATGTAGTCCTCCCTAAAATCGACCCCTATGCTTTAAATCATTGATGGACCCGTCAAGGAAGACTAAAGCGTTTTTAGAAGTACTTTACCAAAGAAGTCAGTCTATTACAAGGTAAAATAAACAAACAAACAAAAAAGATTGTAATTTCCCTTTAATTTTTTGGGCTGGTAGGAAGTACCATCTGTTGTACAGATGGGGGCGCTAATGCAAAACAAAAGAAAAAAAGTGAAGGCAGCTGCATAAATGCAACAGTAGAAGAAGAGAAAGAATACAAGCACAAGCTTTGTATCTTCGGCTGATGTGATTTTGTTGTGGATTATCTGTCTTCGTTAGCATTAGCTAGCAGTGCTGCCAAATATGCCGACTGGCAGCCGGCATATTTTGGTTTTCTGAGGTGTATAAACGCTCTCTATTGTCCTCATTTGTAAAGTCTAAGCGGACATGTTAAGCGTGGAGTCATTGCAAGTAGCTGAGGAGGAGGTGGTTGAATCCAGCTCCAACAAACTCGGTGACATTTACACTTTTGTGGCTAAAGGCTGCTTTCCTCAGACGATCAATCCTTTACGGAAGAAGAACCTCAAAAGATACGCACAGAAATTTATCATTGATGGTAAGGGCTATTTTAAAACCTGAATTTAACAATGGAAAAACCACTGAAACAATACATTGCTTACATCTAGCTCCAGTGAATGTCTGGTGGCATTACGAACCTTCATTCAAAAAGCATCCAATTTAAAGTCGCCTTGCATGTGTGAAGTGTGTGCTCTGTAGGACATAATGTAAGATATTTTATGAATCTGTAGGAGCCTGTAGATAATTCGGCTGACTATATTAGTTATTTACTATTACCAGAACTATATATCAGGTAAATTAAATCCCAACTTAAAAAGCTGGCTCTTGTGGTTAAATTATCTACTACTACTCAACTACTAATTAAAGTCTACATTTTCAGGAGATAAGTGTTGTTTGTAAAATAGAGTGTATGTCAAGGCTGAGAGGTTGACCTCAACTGCTGTCAGTTCCAAGTTATGTTTTATTTCTATGTCTGCCCTTCAAGATAAGCAAGACAACATTAAATACTTATATTTTTGAATGAGGTATGGTTTGACGTTCTCTCCATACACCACAAGCATTCTCAAGGGGCATTCAGGAACCTCTTATTGTCACAATACAAAAAGTATGATACAACTTGTCCAACTCTTTATTTGTATTTGCATTCAAGAGGGTAAGTTGTACTATGTGGGACCCAAGAAAGACGAGAAGAGGGAGGTGGTGATCGAGGCTGAAAGGAAGAGGCAGATTTTTCTAGACTGCCATTTCAATGACATCGGTCATCACCTGGGCCAAAAGAAGACTGTCCACAGGATCCAGAGCAAGTACTACTGGCTGGGGATCATCAAGGACGTTGTGGATTGGGTACATAAATTTTATGTTTTAAGTGTGTAGCTATCATCACTGGGCTATAATGATATTAATGTTTAACTGGTATATACTGCTAATAATGTTTAACCTTTATGATAATGTTTACTGTTTAAGATAAAAGTATGTGAGACCTGTCAGCTCACAGAGAGGAATAAAAACCTGGCGAGGACAGTCCGGCCTATAAAAGTGGAAGCACCTTGGGATATTGTTGGGATTGACCTAATAGGTATTTGCTTCACTTAATTTCTTCAGATGGTATTTTTCTGCTGTATATTTTTTTTCCCACACATTTAAACCCCTTGGCTGTCTTTCCCCTTCTCTTCACCAGGGCCTTTCCCAGAGACACAGCAAGGCAACACCAATGTTATAGTCCTCATTGATTACTTCAGTAAATGGCCAGAAGCTTTTCCAGTGCAAAAGACAGATGCTCTCTCTGTTGCAAGATGTATTTCCAAATGCATATACAGGTAAAAATATTTCATAAAGTCATTGATAGTCATACTGAGGTTGAAACAAGGGTTTTACCACATTCTGTTTAGGTGTAATTTTCCAGTATGAGTTATTTTATGCCCTACATGATACCAGTTTTTATGTCATCCAAATCCAAATTATTTAGATAATTAGTTATTGAATAAATGGTCACTAATGGGATGCTGGCATTTACTTCTGACCTTTTCTGATTTCCCACAAAATTCATACATATTTTTCACCCTTAAACTGAACTTGTTCTGTTCTCCGTTCAATTAGGTTTGGTGCCCCTAAAACGATAGTATGTACGCAGAATGCTGACTTCTGTGATGAGGTAAGATGTGAGTCACAAAGTAAATTAAAATGAACAGATCAAGAAAAGTAGAAGATGTTGTCATGGGACAGTTTTATCAGTCCCTGTACTCGTGTGTTCTAGGTGACAAAACTGCTGTGCGACAGGTGGAGCATCATGCAGAAGGTGTCTCCTCTGGATCAGCCTCAGCTCAACCCGCTTCACGACTGCACGAGTCCTTTGCTGAAGGAAGCCATAGTGCAGATGGTAACGGAGAAGCAGGCCGAATGGGACGACTTCCTGGACCCTGTGCTGTTCCTGTTCAGGACATCCACCAACCCTACGACCAAGTTCAGCCCTTACTCCCTCATGTTCAGCAGGAAAGCTAATTTACCAAATGAGGTACGACTCCATTGTCAAGAACAAAATCTAGTAGTGTAGTTTGTATGTGTTTGTTAATATTGCTCCCTTTCTGCAGACTACTTTGAGCCTACTGAATTATGAGGACCAGGAGCAGGATATGTATTCCACAAAGGAGAAGGCCTCAACGTATATAACCATAATGCAGGAGCAGCAGAACTCTGTGAAGCAGCTGGTAAAGACTTTCTCTTGCACTATCACCATGCATGCTGGTTCTTTCTTTCTTTGTCTGATTGTCACATGCACATCAGACACTGCTTTGTGGGTTCTGACAAAAGTTCAGAAAAGGTTATTCTTATTGCTGCGTCTTTAAAGGTCCCATGAAAGGGTGTCGATACTTTCTCTGTGTGACATATATCAGTTTCTCTTTAGGGGAGGGGAGGGGTTGCTGTTAAGTGTAAACAAATAGGATATTAATGATGGTGAGAATGGCAGTTTTATTTGATAGGACAGGTAAAAAGGAGGGTTTTTAATTTTTTTATTGTTTTTTAGCACTTTGATTTTTTAGTTACACAGCATGGGGTCACCCTTGAAGATGCACAGTTTGAAGGGACATTTAAATGCATTAATTCATGGAATAAAGCTGCATTAAATGACTTTATCAATATTACTTTGGCAATTTGGGGGCAGCAGAATAAGCTGAAGAATGGTGACATATTTCATCTTATAACATTAGGCTAGTGCAATGTTAGGGTTTTACAGTATTTACTGTATAAAATACAGACGTTCCTCTTCCTATTAAACTGATACAGATATGTGGTATTGAGGTGATGTATTATAGTTCAGCACCAGAGGTCAGTCTTTACACATGGAACAGGAGACTGAGCTGAGAAGGTTGATGACTATGAGTGATGGATTTTACTGTTTCATGTTCGCTGTCTTAGAATTTTTTTTAATGTTGCTGCTTGAAAATCCAACATTTACGTATTTTGCTGCTTCACAATAAAAGTTTTTACATATCAAAATTGAGGGGGACTTTTATTGTGAAGAATCTGTAGGAAATGTGTTCCTGTGTTTATCACTGAATTAGTGGAACTTTGCTAGCAGTTTTTTTTTCATTAAAGACTAGTCTAATCATATGGCAGGGAGGAAGAGTAAATTCAGAAACCACCAGAGTGAGATGTTGGATGAAGAGCTGCAGACAACAGTTTCTCACTGCACCTCTGCAAACAGCTCACCTCCAACAGGTAAACTTGTTTCATCTGCCCTGCTGTGGAAAAACACATGCAGCAAAAATAACAGGGGACTTTAGCCATGGATCAGCCTGCTGCTAAACGTTATCACTTAAGACAAGTCGTCATCAGTTAAAGATACACCGTCAAGCAGGTACCTCTGCTGTAATGGAAATGCAAATCCCTGCCATGCTCGCCCAAACCAAACCACACCAAAGCAAACCAAGCCACACCAGCCCATGATTGTCAAAAAGGGGTATAATTCCCCTTGTAGACACGCTGCTTGTAGGTCAGACAATGTCATACATGCTACAATGACTTCTATCACCAGTAGCTCAGCTTGTACATTTTTAAATTTAATTAATTTATTTTTTTCACACAAATACCATATACCCCATGAAATGTCAGGAAGGCATGAAAAAACTGATGCCAGCGAAGCCTAGCTAACATGTTAGCAAACAGACTATAGCATTAAGGTTACAATAAATCCAATGCACAATGCATTTGTGTTTCTGGCCACCTGACAAATGTAAATCCAATTTTCACTAATGTTGCCTGTCTGATGTTTGGTACAGGGCGGGAGGTATACAGTTTGTTTATCAAAGCTTTGTTGCTGAAATCAGTTGTTGAAGTGACAGGAAACCAAAACATGAAGCTAAAAGGAGCAAAAAAAGAAAAAGCTCCATAGAACTGAAGGGGTCTGCAGTGTTTGGTAATAATTTTTTACAGGTTTGTCACTCTTAGCACCACATTTCACATTACACATATTCATTTGATTTATTGACAATATAAAGAAATTATTTAGTGCAGCTTTAAAATGTTTTTTTTTTTCCCACTGATTAGCCACAGCTGAAGAGTGATCAGCCATTACAAAGAGCTATCAGGGTTGAATTTTTTTTTTTTAAAAATGTCCCTACATAGCCTCTGGTTCCTAGTTGGCCCAAGGGGTTCCTGCCTCATATATGAGAAACTACTAGTTTTGTGTTGGGTTGTGTATGTTTCTTTTATGTCCCCCAGACATGGTACTGGACATTTATCTCGACATGTTGGACACAATGTTGTCAGGGTGATATATATGCACCATTCTTGTGAACACAGTTGTGTAGTAGAGTACAGAAATGTGATTCTTACACCCCTGTTTCCTGTAATAGAAACTCTATTAATTATTTAAGACACAAAGTTAAAACCAGCGTTATCCATGTGCTGTGCAACAACAAACTTGTTGACAGAAATATTTAGAAATACACATATTTATGGGCTTCATTAGTAAACACATGAACATAACTGGCTGTGTGTTTTATATTTGTTGTGTCATTTTTTTCTTTAAGTCCTCTCTTTTTTGTGTCTGAATGTGTGTGTTCCACTTTCAGGTGATCGCCAATATGAATGCAGCCTACAAACAAGAGAAGAAGAAGAACGCCAAACGCAGGACACATAACATGCCCTCGATGACCTTTAAAATGGCAGATCCTCTGTTCGGTGCAGGGGACTCCCCCTCCCCAAAAAAACTAAAAGACAGTTTGTATTTATCTTTTCCTGTTGAGACAGTGCTGGCCACTGAGCAAAGCAGCTCAGAGGACATGAAGACTGAGTTAGAGTATCACTTGGCTGACTCTGATGTCCACTGAGGAGGACTGTTTGGAAGAGATGGATCAGTGGAGCAGGACTACATGTTGTCATGAGCCTCCATCTAACGAAACGAGTGTGATGATTAGTGTTACTAATGCTAATGCTGGTTGAACACAATCTTGGTTGGTATTTCACTCGTAGATGAATCTGGCATTTAGAAAAAGAATCCACTGGCCAAAGTAATGGCAGTAAACTTTGACCCACATGAATTATTGAGCTTTTTGTTCTGTTTCCCTTTAAAAAACAACCAAAACATTTCCCTTGAAATGATATTAACTTATTCTTTTTTTCCACTGTGTCAAGCAATAGATTTTTAAACAACAGTGCTTAAAATTAAAGGTATTGTTTCATTTGTGTGACCTTGGTGTAATGTCATTACCTGATGGGAAGTCTGATATTGCTTAAAGGCACTGATTAGTGTTAGTAAGTGGAATCTCTTGCTTGTGAGAGAAGGTCATAGCACACATAAAGAGGCTAGCTCCCTCTGTTGTTAGGTATGGTCTTGTATGCCTAAAATTAGCCAGGTTGAATTTAATAGTTCCGCCCACCCTTTTAACATGCTCTTTAAACAACAGATTTGAATCAAGGATTATTTCAAGATATTTAAAGTAAGATATCCCTTTGACCTTTTTTTACTTTAACAAAAACATTGGGTTGGTGAGTGGGTTTCTGTGTGAAAACACAGTTTTGTTTATCTCCAGGTGTAAATATGAACTGCTTAATCAATCAGATAGTTTGTTTTTAGCATACACATGAAGAACTGTGTCATCTTCATATATTTGTTGATAGATGGGTAGAGTAAAAGCAGGTTGTTAATGTACAAGCTGAACACAGTAGGGCCCAGTATTGATCCTTGAGGAACACCAATGTTACAGTTAAGGTATGTTGACTAAGTATTGCCAATACATACACTAATAATTTTAAACGAATGCTTTGTAATGCAGACCACCATAGGTCAGCTACGTATTACTACTACTACTACTACTAATAAAAAAAATAATAAAATATAATAGAAAACATGCTGGGAAGAGAAGTTGAAAACATTAGATACAGAATTACACTTTCAATATATAAACCTGAGGTTCCCAATCTTAGGGGTGATATCAAGTTATTCTGTAGGGTATAAAGACCCACTCAGTGGGGAGAGAGGTACAGAGATCCTTTTTTGAGTTAAAACACACACACACAAACATGCTACAGAGAAATATTCCATTTCAAGTGAAAATCCATCATAAAGTAAAATAAAAAGCATCATCACCAAAATGTACATAAAGTGACCAAAAACAAAAAAACAATTGAAAACAGCGACCTGCTACTGCTGAAAACATGTTGACGGGTGCAGTGAGAGTGACCCAAATGGTAAAGTTGAGGGCCATGAAACCACTTGTGTTGTACTTATTAAAAACATCTTAAGAGGCTGTTTTGAGAGGGGAGGGGGTATTGCAAAAACGGGCAGGTATGTCAAACAAATTTTTAAGCACCATGGATGGACTTAGGCTTTTTATTTTGGCTTAGGGGAGGGGGAATAATGATTTAAATGGTTGTATTTTCTATTTCCCTGCTGGTTTTGAGAGAAAACATGCTTTCTAAATCCAGAAGGTGAGTTTTCTTTTAAAATCACCAAAATTACATCATTCATCATAGCCAGTAAGTGTTTAAACAGAAATTGTTGGATTTTAAAATTTTGGTCCATGGACGCATCATGTGCAACGCACACTTCGTCAGAAAAAAAAGGTAACAAAATCTGAGCTAAAAATAGTGATAGTTCATCAAAATGACTGTATTATATGGGTCTCATTTAAAAATTGGCCAAGAATAACCCGATTACACTAACTAGGCAGCACGACAAGAGTGAAAAATCAAGGCTTTTTTCAAATCCAGGATTTCATCTTTAACTTTTAACATTACATTTTCAAACATCAGAGGGTAAGTTTTTAAAAATCTGAAACAGTTTATGGTGGAGGGAGGGTCATGCATTTTTGTCAGTCACTTGGGGAGGCTCAAGGAAAAACATTTGTAGCTTCAGGGAGGGTCAAAATAATAATAATAATAATAATAAAATGAAGTCACACTCAGCCACCACCCTTCTCTGGTAAGTGCAGACCAGCCCCTAATAAATCAGTAGGCTTGATCGAATAATCTCATGTAGGAACCTAAAATACTATTTTTAGTCTCCTGCTACGATTTTATAGTGACAAACTACCATTATGAGCCAGTAATAGGGTATAACAGGATTACAGTTGTTGTATATTTCACGGAGGTTTCATGAAATGTCCCATTTTTCAACATAACTTTGGTGGTTTTGACCGGATGCTCTTGAACGTTCACAAAATACCTGGTGGGAGGAGCCAAAGAACGTTCACTTCCGCAACAATTGAGGTCAGAGAGGTAAAAATGAACAGAGGTATCATTCTGCCTCCATTCCAGGTATCTAAACCAGTCCGTCTCTTCATTTATGGGGGTGAAGATATTTGGCAGTTTGTGTGTCCGGGGACTCAGAGAGTCACAGGAGCTGGTTTACGTAGTCACTCCTCGACCAGGTAGGATATTTTAACAGACTCAATTTCACTTCATATAGATTATAAACTTAGACCTAGTGGACGCAGGGGATTCCAAATTATAAGGATACGTGGGAAATGGGAAGTTTATTTTGGAAAAATAGAATGAAAATCAGGACGGTAGCTGGACATAATATCCAGTGACTCCTGTGCTGTGAATCATTTCTGAGCTGCTGGACTGATCATTTCATACTGTCACATCAGATTTACCACATGGATGCTCTTTTTTTGATAGCTCAGATTAATCACTTGATTGATTCATATTACAAGAAAGTTACAACGTGATTACATGAAGCTGTCAGTGGCTTGTGCGCGATTATGCCACATTGTGCTACCTGTCTTGTCAGATTGTCAAACACCTGCAAAGTCTGAATCCTCTGTTACATAGACGATCTTTGACACCGGTGTCCAGCAATGCTAATGTCGGTTCACTCTCTCAAATCCACCCGACTCAGTTTAAGACGTGGAAGCGGTTTATTAACTTGTACCATATTTACGCTGCTATTTATTTCATTATGAATAGGGAGAGACTGTATAAACTAATTTAACGTTCCCCTGGACACCCGGCTGGACATTATGGGATTAAATAACATGGACGCGTCTGAAACCTGACCCAACACAACTCACCGCCTGCTAGCTGCTAACTCACAGAGCTAGATTATAATGTAATAGGTATATTTGTTATTTGAGGTTGCCATCTTGCTGGACAGTCATTTACAGCGTAGTAACATCTTGTGTTTAACTTGTTGTAGGACTACCTCACATTTACCCCCTGCAGCTAGAGCCGCAAGAGACCGGAAGTGCATCCCTACAGAATAAAGTAAGTGTGAAGAAATAATTCAAGTATTGGTGGAGTCATTTCTGCTGCCTCTGAGTGATCTTAAAATATCATAGAATTGTTTTTGTCGGTTTTTGTTTTTGTGTCCGTTTTTTTATTATCTGGGATAGTTTAAAGCTGTAGTTGGAAGTTTTTTGTGTTTTGTTTTAAAACATTTTTTTGTTACTAGTTTCCTGAAACTGTCACTATATCCACACAGTAAAAGAGACACATAATCTGTGAAAAAATAATCCTCTGCCTCCTCCCATTGCTCCTAATGGTATTTGCAAGAATCCATTTGCCTTAGGGAAAACCACCAGTCAGGCCAGTGGTCAGGGCAGGGGGACAGCAGTTTCAAGTTTCATGATGTCCTTTCATCCTTGCCCAGGAGATTTAACAGCTTAAACTCTAAAAACAAAACTGATTTGCTGAAAATCAGTTTGCCTCAGTTGTCACCTTCAGCTCTGCCCGTCATACCTGCTGCTTCTTCACAGTTTTTTGCCAGACATTTGTCCATTGCCCCTCTGCTCCTTTCATTGTCTTGTTACCTCTGCACCCTGACTTTCCTTTAGGAGCCCCTGATTTTTGGTGAAGAATTCCGACTTCACTAGTCAGGCTGCAGTTCACTTCACATGTTTACATTAGCAGCACTTGTGATTTCTGCGCATTCTGCACCTGACCCATGTCAGATGGATTGCATCATTTCACAATACCTGTGGGAGTACCAGATGGAAATGTAAATTGTTGTACTTGATCCCATTTAAGGGTCAACCATAGAACTTTTCATGGGCCCACCTTGGCCTTGGGCCGGATCATCTATTTCCTTTGACTCCCCTTGAAGGCGGGCCTGGCCACAGAGTCTGTAACACAGCTGTCAATCATGTCAGTCACTGCTTCTGAACTGCAGTCAAATTGTCAAACTAGTATAAAGACTATATAAAGATTCTGTTACTGTATCACCTATTTCTTGCCTCAGATGTTTTCAGAAACATATTTTAATGTTCTGTTTAGTAGGGCTGCACAATGATAATAAAATGCTATCCACAATTATTTGGTCAATGTTGAGATCACGATTGTTTATCACGATTGCTCATTGTTTTTAAGGACAAAAGATCTGATGGGTATTTATCAATCAATCAGTCAATCAATCAATCAATCAATTTTATTTAAAAGCCCAATATCACAAATCACAAATTGCCTCACAGGGCTTTACAGCATACGACATCCCTCTGTCCTTTGGACCCCCGCAGCGGATAAGGAAAAACTCCCCCAAAAAAACCCTTTAATGAGGAAAAACATACTGTTTATGTTAACAGTAAAGTAATGTTAGCAACATTATTTTAAATGTTAGTTTTGCAGTCAATCATGGTCATTTATTTGTGGGAAGCCAAAGTCATGATTGTGATTAATATTTGATTAATTGTGCAGCCCTACTGTTTTACTGTAAAGTGAGAAGGTTGGCCCAGCTGGTGGGTGGTGCTTTGTTTTGGCTCGACTGTCTTCAACATGGCTGTAGGGTCACAAACTTTCTGATTTAACAGCTAAACAGTACACTAAAATATGTTTCTGAAAACATTTGAGATGAGAAATAGGCAAGGCACTAACAGAAACTTGATTCATATTTGATCAGCACTTCCTAGTGGCTGCAGTTCATGAGCAGTGGTTGATATGGTGCACAGCTACATTAGAAACCCCTCTGCTCTGATTGGTTGTTTCCCTTAAGCCATGGAGGATTCTTGCAGTTGCCATTAGACGCACTACAAGGCAGAGAAGGACCATGGTTTTTTGCCTCATGTACCACTGTGTGGATATAGTGACAGTTTAAGCAAATATGACAAAAAGTTATTTTTAATAAAAGTTACCATCTGTAGCTTTAACAGTGGTTGTACTTCTTATAACTTTATATGTAACTCTATCCTGCAGCATGGGCATCAAAGTAGCTGTGAGCTGCACTGTGTTGTACACCCTACTGGACGTGATTGTCACCACTGTCCTGTACACACATGGTTCGCACTTGAATATATTCACAAAGGATGCCCTGCACTTTAACATCCTCCAGTCAGCGTTGGACCTCTGGGTGACTGTGCTGCTTAGAGCCTCCCTCCTGCTGGGAGCCTCCATAGGGGTGTCATGGAATAGACAAGATGGCCCACAAAGGGCAGCTAAACTCTCCTCGCTCATTGTCTTCATCTGTCTGATCGTCATCACCTACGCCCTGGTCAAGATGCTGATGCTAACCGAGCTGAAGCCTCTGACCCAACAGCCCTGGTTCCTGAGCCTGATATGCTGGACTTGTGCCTCTTCTCTGGGTGTCATTCTGCTCTGGAGGATGCTTGGGAAGGAGTCCAACTCGGCAAGCACGAGCTGCACAAGTGGAGGAGAAGGGGGCTCTGAGGATGCTGAGAAGCTGGTGGGGACAGCTGGTGAGGAGGAGCAGGGGGTGGGGTGTGAGAGGAAGAAGAAGGATGAGGAAAGCCAGGAGAAGAAGATGACCAGCTCTGGGGCTACACTGGGACGTCTGCTGACCTACTGCAAAAAGGACGGTGGGCTGCTGTCCGTAGCCTTCCTCTTCCTCCTCATCTCTGCTGTGTGTGAGTGTCATTGACATAGTAGTATAAACCAGTCCAATAAAAGTGTTTAATCCTGTCGGTTACAAAGGATTGCAACAGTCATGTGCTATACCACAACAGAGGCTGACGCTGTAGGTTATGACTGTGACTCATTCCAGATTACACCACATGTAGCCTTTGCGCTCATCAGGAGCAACTCAGAGGCCAAACTTCAATATTGAAAAGACAGTGAAGGGCTTTGTTTTATTTACTTGTTTTATACATGGACAAAAAAATATAGATAGAAACAGAGGTGGAGGGACCTTATAGCACCTTATCACAGAGATGCAATTCTTTTATTGGTACAGTGTTTTCAGGCCATACTGCATAGTAAAATACAAAGCTCCATAAAATGCCACCTCACCTTCAAAACAACTCCTAAAAGTGTAAATTATGACCTTTGGGTCATATTCATTTGGTCTGTGAAATGTCAGAAAATAGAGAAAACATCCATCTTTGGGACATCTTCCCAGAGCTGAAGGACACAAACTGATGTTGTGCCTGATGACGGTCTAGTTACTGAAAGAGTTGTCGAATTAAAAGCATTATTTTTGCAAGTTAGACATTGTGTTGCTGTTTTTCTACAAGCTGTCTTATTTTATTCTTAAAGATATTTTCTATCACACGAAGCAAAGAAAACCAGCAAATCCTCACAAAGGAGGAGCTAGATACAGAGAATCTCAACATTACATAAACAGTTAATTAAATATCCAAAAAGTTGACTGTTTATTTGTTGATCAGGTATTGGTTAAGTGATTTATTGTTACAGCCTTACTGATTTTCTCAATTTATTTTGAAAACAAATGTCTCATTATTGTCCAAGTTTTCACTAAGTTATCTTGATAAAAGAGTGCTGCAGGGATGATGTTTTTTGTAGGCCGATACAGAAGGTAGCATCGCCCTGGCCCCCTCAACACAAAGAAGCCAATAGGATTTTTCCTTTGTATTTTGCATTAATCAATAATTTATTTGTCAAATGGAATTATACAACTCCAGTGTAATGTGATCCCATCAGCTCCTTTAATTTGTGCACTGTAATTTAGTCCTTTTTTGCGACTTCTTACATTGTTGGCTGCTGCTTTATAATGGTTCATGATTCTGGATGGTTCTGGTAATCTGTGGTTTCCGGTTATGAAATGACCTAACTATCCACACATTTGGACCTCAGTAAGACGGCCATTTAGTAGCTTCTCGTAAACACAGGCAGCGCCACACTGCAGCTGCCTCTAAACAGTATATAGCGGTGATTCACAGCAGGAACAGGACAGCAAAAAACCCACTGACTTCGAAACGAGGGGACTGGGAGCAAATATGCAAACTCATCCCTGGGTTTTGGAACTCATTCCTGCAGCGCTATATTGATGTAGCAACAGCCTATTACACATATGAAAAGTCAGTATGTGGACATTCTTACATAATATCTCTGCCCCTCTCTCTCTAACCTGCAGGTGAGGCCTTCATACCGTACTACTACGGAAAAGCAATAGACAGCATTGTGGTTCACAAGAGCATGGAGCACTTTGCTAAGCCTGTGATCATACTGTCAGTGCTGGCCTTAGCTAGGTGAGTATCAACAGGTTGTCTTCTGTGACGTGACATGAAAAGCATACACCATAAAAACATAACAACACGTGTAGTATTTGTTTATATGTTTTATGGTGTGTGCTTTTCATTGCTTCTGGACTGTTATTGTAGGGCAGCAATGCTTGTGCAGCTCCTAAGTCCAAGATAAATTTCCCTATGAGAACAATAACGTATATGGTATGGTATCATATTGTGATTTGCCTTAGAGAGACACTAATTGCAGACCAATATAAGGTGACATTTGTACCTCTTTTGCACCAACATGGAACCAGTTCCTGCACCTAATTTTGAACTATTCAGAGCTTCGACCAAAAATGAGGTGGTTCAGAACCCAAAAGTTGGTTCTCAGCTGGAACTAAAAAATAGCAGGTTTTTCTTGACCTGAATGCAAACTCAGACAACATCTGCAGGTGAATCATATTCTGCTGGTTGGAAAAAGAGGATGGAGGAGGCAACAGTGGAGAAATCGAGAGGAATTTTTGGACAAAAAAAAAGAGTGTGCAGTGATCTCATCAATAGCTGTTCATGCTTGCTTTGGGTGTAAAAACAAATATATACTAATATAAGTTAGTTCACAGGTAATCAATGTAATTTTACTACTGTTTACTTCTGTTGATGACACATCCTCGATAACAATGGTTCCGACAAAACTGATGGAAACTCTGGCTGGCTCGCTAGAGAGCAACAAGGTTCATAGAAGTGTGAACGGAACCGGCTCAAGAACCAGAGATTAATTGGTGGAAAAGGGGTAACAGATGTTTGTTCATATGAGAGTGTTGCAGTCTACAGTTGTAATGATTTGCCTATTGTAATGTTAATAATAATTGTTTTGGCATTTTGCCATTGTCAGAATATGCAGAGGTGGGAGGGATCAGTAAGAGTGTGTGATGATATAATGACATATGGTAAAGCTGCTTAACTAAATTTGAAGCAAGAACGTCACATGTGACAAAAACCAGACTTAAATTCTTTATTGCACCTTTACCCTTTCCTTAGCTCACTTGCAATGGGAGTACGTGGAGGAGTCTTCACCCTGACGTTTGCAAAATTAAACCTTCGGCTCAGGAACCATCTCTTCAGAACTCTGATGAGGCAGGAAATTGGCTTTTTTGATGAAAACCATACAGGTGATATAGGAACACTACACATCCACCCTCCCTATATCTCTATTATTGACTTTCCTCTGTACGAGGGCCTTCTTCAACAAAGGAGTAGTCCTTCTAATGTTATTACATGCCTGTCTCACCCTGTAGGTGACATCATTTCACGTCTGTCTGCAGACACCACTCAGGTGAGTGACCTCATCTCCCAGAATGTCAACATCTTCCTGCGGAGCATGGTCAAGGGCATCGGCTTCTTCATCTTTATGTTTGGGATGTCCTGGAAGCTCACACTGGTGGCCATCATGGGATTCCCTTTCATTGCCCTTGTCTCCAGACTCTATGGGGATTACTACAAGGTAAAGTAGATTTCTGTTTTTGTTGATCACTGCATTTGCACAAAAAATGGATTTATTTTTTATTTATTTATTTATTTATTTTTTTCAGAAATTGACCAAAGAGGTGCAAACAACCCTCGCAGAGGCCAATAAAGTTGCAGAGGAAACCATTTCAGCCATGAGGACAGTACGGAGCTTTGCCAACGAGTGCGGGGAGGCCAACTCCTACCACAGCAAGCTTTTGGTCATGTTCCAGCTCAACAAAAAACAAGCCCTGGCCTACGCTTGCTACATGTGGTCCAGTTGTGTGAGTATCAGCAGTTGCCCCTTCAGATGAAGACGTAAAGCTCTAAATCTGTTACGTAAAATACTTTGTATTTCTTGATTACTGTGTGTTTCAACGTGGACATCAGTAGGGTGTGTGTGTGTGTGTGTGTGTGTGTGTGTGTGTGTGTTTGTTTGTTTCAGATTTCAGAACTCGCTTTAGAGGTGGCTATCCTCTTCTATGGCGGCCACCTTGTACTAACCGGTCAGATGAGCAGTGCTGCCTTGATCTCTTTTTTCATTTACTTGCTGGAACTGGGAGAATGTCTGGAGGTATTTCATCAGTTTTATTAAATTATTTCATTATGTGCATATAGAGACACAAATCCCCTTAACTGAAGTGTGATTTACCTTACAGAGTATTGCATCAGTGTACACGGGCCTCATGCAGGGGGTTGGTGCTGCCGAGAAGGTTTTTGAGTACCTGGACAGAGAAACCAAACACCCAGCTGACGGCACAGAGGCTCCAGACACATGCACCGGTTTGGTTGAATTTAAAGACATCACGTTTGCCTACCCAACACGCCCTGAGACTGATATTCTCAAGGTTTGTTCTGAGGGATTTTGCTTTCACCATGTGTTGATAAACTATATATAACTGTTTGGCTGCAGGTATCAAGAGTCAGGGGTCATGCCATGTCTGATTTACTCAGCTCAGTCTAAATTGATACCAGGGTAATGCTGATATATTGTAGTTTTTGTTGTAGCCACTACAAGCCTTTTACTTCAAATCTGCATCAAGTATCTTGTATCAAGTGTCTAAAAGCTACTGTATTAAGTTTTGTAATGTGTCAGGATAAAGTTCTAGGGAATCAAGCAGCATTTCAATTTTTTTATTATTTGAACATGATAATAGCCATAATTGAAGGCAATTAAATTATGTGCAAATAATATTAGCTGTTGATAACACAAGTCCAATAATATCAGTTGCCCTTTAACCCCGAAACCCCTTACTTACTGTACTATGTATCAACTTTTTGTGGTGGTGGTGGTGGGGGGAGGATTGTCTGAAAGTTTGAAAAAAGAAATCACTTCCTGTATTGATGTGTTTGCAGGGAGTGTCATTCACTTTGCGTCCTGGAGAGGTAACTGCCCTTGTGGGACCTTCAGGCAGTGGGAAGAGCTCCTGTGTGAGTCTGCTGGAAAACTTCTACCTTCCTCAACAAGGCCAAGTGCTGCTGGATGGAAAGCCCATTCGCACCTTCCAGCACGACTACCTCCACTCCAAGGTCAGTCTACATCAGTGTGATTGACAGGATGTTCAACAATTAGGACATGCTGGAATGTGCCCTTTTGAAGGATAAGACTGCCTTATTCATTCTTCTCTTGATGTCAACAAATCTAACAAATGTGTTAGTCTGTCTCTCAGCACTTTCCAACTTAACTACCCTGTTTGTTGCACTAAAACCAAGCCTGTTGGTTACTGCTTAAGGGTTAGGATTATTTAGGCATTCCAAAAACTAATTACAAATATATTATTTTTAATAATAAAGTAATTTTCCTAAAACATCTGGACACTGTAGTTTTTAGCAAACATTGCTGATTTGTTGGGTACTATTTTCAGCACTTTGGGTTCTCTAATGCAGTGTTTCTCAAATGGGGGTATCGTAACCCCAGGGGTACTCTGGAGTACATTAGATTTTCTTTTTTTAAATGTAAATTAAAAGAGTATTTAAACCCCCAAACCACTTTTTTCAGTTTCGTTTTTTCCAGTTTTTATTTTTTATTTTGGTAGCCAAGACACAGGGCGTGTCTTGGAAGAGCTACCAAGCTCTTCTTTACTTTCCAAATGTTATTGGATTGAATGGATCAAATCCCGATGTTGTTACGCTCAAAAAATTGATACACTGATTGACAGAGGTCTCTTTCACAATGTAAGTCTATGGGAAAAAGTCTTTTGGGCCCAATCACTGACCCAAAAGTTGTAATTCTATGGTTTGGCCACTATAAAGCCTGTTGCTGTTCCTGTGGGGCTGAGGAAGAGGCACGTCAGCCAAAACTCTGGCATTTAGTTACTCTTTAGAAATATCAATCATACATAATTCCAAAAATAATTAAACTATATTAATTTCAAATAAAAAAAATAAATGTTTGATCGATAAACCACATTTTATATGCAGTATTCCTTTTTTCAGTTCACGCGTTAACTGTCAACTACCACAAGTGCAATCACATTCTGGTTTATGTTTATTTACTTTGCATTTCTACCAAAAATCTTTTGCAGTAGTCAGGGAGTAATTGCCTGAAAAATATTTTAAGGAGGGTAAATTACTGAAAAAAATTTGAGAACCTTGCTCAAGTGAGTATTTGGAGCTGCACGACATTGTATGAGAGATGGACTGGACTCAAAATAAACAACAGTCACCATGTTACTTGTAATGAAGGAACATGTCACCAGTGCAACATTTTTTGACCACTATGGTACAGAGGAATAAGATATATCGGATTTTTGCGACACTCTGTTCTTGTTACTGAAATCAGTTTATTGTAGGTTAAGAATCTTTCACACATAAAACCTTCCATGTGTTATTTTGTGTCTGCAGGTGGCTCTTGTGGGCCAAGAGCCTGTGCTGTTTGCTCGGACAGTCGGTGAGAACATCACCTATGGCCTGACTGACGTCCCCATGGAGGCTGTGGTGCAGGCTGCCACCAAGGCTAATGCTCATGATTTTATCACCGCCCTCCCTTCAGGCTATGAGACAAGTAATTATTATATGTGTTCATGTAGAGGTCAGTCATTGATGTATTGGTATTGTAAACGATAGGTTAGCTAGGACACCCACTCAGAGACCATCGTGTTGGAAACAAATTCAAACAGACAGTTGCCAGGATTATGACAAGCCACTTTTCAAGCCACTTGAGATAGTCTACTGCCTTAAACTTTGTACATCATTTCAAAAAACATGAAAATTATCAAGGAAAAAATTCATCATGAAGAGACTACATCCTGTTTTGTATTTAACGGTTCTTCATCATTCTGAAACTGAAACACAGCAAATGTTGAGGATGACTACTTTGTCTAATGTTACTGTTTTGAAGTTACATAACGTATTTGGCGTAAACATCATTACTATCCTTAAAACAGAATAAATGTTTCTCTGACACATCTGCTACTTTTAAATGCAGGCACGTGCACAGATAGACCCCAGGTGGTGCTCAAACACCTTCCCGTTTTCCCTCTGACTAGATAAGCGCTCTTTTTTGAGAGACCTTTTTTGTCTATTTATTTTTCTAATTTAAATAGTTTAGTTTTTAAATTTGGCCCATTTCACCAAGTCTCAATTAAAAACGTTGCTGTAACGCCTGACAACCGCATTTGAGTTTTAATTCTGCCAGACCACAAGAGCCCCTGCCCCTCCCTCATCAACTTCCCTTGTCACAGTTATCATTTAATGCACGTAAATAAAACACCCCGCAAAGCAGCATCCACATCTTGCTGTGACCCGCCTTCATGGAAAGCCAGGTAACGATAGAGTTTGCCCTAAGTCAAGGTATTGTTTGTAACTGTTGTGAGACTTAACTATTAAAACATCTCAATACAGCTAGACTAATTTAGGTAATAACCCGCCATTAAGTTTAACAACAAGCAAGTTAGTCTGGCTTAAAATCACACCGTCTCCCTCCAACTCTCTGGCTGATTCCAGTTCACTGACTGCCCGGCGCGAGCGAAGACTGTTGCCGGATTACTTCTCTCACTTCCACGTCTTTAAAAACCAAAACTCTACTCGAAATAATGTTTAGATCTCCCGTGCCGCAGCTGATAATTAATTTACATAAATCTGAAATGTGGTTTGGTGCTGCATATTTCCTGTGCTAATAGCACAGAGAAGGAGAGGAAGGGCGCGAAGCTACAGCTGCTGCAGGCTTCTGTTCTCTGGAATTCTTCAAGAATATCTAAAGCTTATTTGGATGATAATTTTAAGTATTAGTACGCAACTATTTAATAAAACACAGTAATTTTCTGGTATGCACAAACTTTACTGTTTACAGATTCTTGGGCAGGGGATTGAATTTTAAAAACAATTTTACTTCTGAACCAACAGGAAATCAAACATTTAGCTGGTTAAAGTAAAGGGTTTTGATGGGAAAGCGACGACGACAGAAAATCTAAAATAAGCCTTGCATTTAAGGTCTGAAGAACAGAACCATGTTTGTAAGAATCTGAATTTGATGTAAATGAACCAAACTACCCCTCAAAAAAGTCTCTTTTCTCTTCAGTACTGTGTTGACTGCATATTGAAGAACTTTGAGGTAGAAATCATCCTAAGTGTGTTTGTGTCAGAGCAGCTTCTACTCTGTACATCCAGAATAATTTAAACCTCCCTGCAGATCACGGCCCTTCATTTATTCACAGCAAAATGTGTGTTGACTCAGCAGACAACATGAAATAAGACAAGTTGATCTACAGGAGGTTAAATATTTGAAAGCAGTACTGAATGCCTGAGCAAGCAAAATGTTACTGTATATACCTTTATTTTTGAAATCAATAACTATGAGAGAGGTGCCCCTTTTCTTTTACTTGAGCACCTGCCCCAAAAAATGTCTGTGCACGGGACTGTTGATGATCAATACCAAAATAATCTAGGCTGCAAATATGATCCCCAACAAGTAAGTAACAAGTAGTGCTCTTCAATACTCTGAATTGAATATTAGGCCAACGGAACATTTACTTAATTAAATTATATTAAGTTAAGATTTCTTTGGGGAATAGCTTAGTATGATAAACAACATGGACATAAACTGTTTTATTATCTGAATGACTCAAAGTTTAAGGAATTTTAAAAACTTAAAAGGGTGAAGGAAAACATTTGGGGCTGGAGCCCCAGAGGCCACCCTGCTGCTCCGTCCCTGGTTTTTCCCATAGCACATGTACCCTTGCACAATTTACCAGAGTTAAACACGATTTAGTATTAAGATTAGAATGTAATCTTTTTCCCTAATACTAACTTCCCTGCACTGCTTTCCTGCTAGAAACCTCACAGTTAGGTTTTACTGTTTAACTGTCATGTGTTCTTCATGCAGCTGAAGTACTGGTATTTTTTCTTCCCCAGGTGTTGGCGAGAAAGGCACCCAGTTGTCAGGGGGGCAGAAACAAAGGGTGGCCATTGCAAGAGCTCTCATCCGCAACCCTCGTGTTCTTATCCTGGACGAGGCGACCAGCGCCCTGGATGCAGAGAGTGAACACATGGTAAGTGAAAGGCTTCATTATTTAACTTTTTTATTGTGTCAGAGAGCTGCTAACTCATCTCATTATCATTTTGTTCATCCTTGCTACATCTGCTGCAGGTTCAGACGGCTCTGAACAACATCATGCAGGAGCACACAGTGTTGGTAATCGCCCATCGGCTCAGCACAGTGGAAAAGGCAGACAACATCATCGTGATCGACAGGGGGCGTGTGGCGGAACAGGGGTCTCACAGTCAGCTGATGGCCAGTGGGGGGCTATATCATGAGCTGGTGCAGAGGCAGGTCCTAGGCATTGAGACAGGGGCGGAGGTCCTCAACCCATCTGAAAAACTCAGCTGGAAGTCTGATGGTGGAGGGAAGAAGAGAAGAAAGAGCAGCAGTTGCAGCACCAGTGATTCTGAGCATAATGTACGCTACTGATATGAGAATGACCTGCAGTGTGTGGAAATGGGATTGGACTGCTGGATGGGTGATGGCACGTTTTGTATATTCTAAGATTCAAACCATATGTACTATAGAAGCTATTTTATTCAGATATTCAGTAGTGTTTAGTTTAACTATTTCCATGCAAAGAGTAGAAGAGGTCTTCAAACTGAATTTAGACCACAGGACACTTCAAACACTGAACTGAAATCCAGGATCTTAATATAACTTAAAGGGCTAGTTCAGATTTTTTGAAGGTGGGTTGAATGAGGTACTTATCCAGAGTCAGTATTACCTACGGTAGATGTCAGTCGGCACGCCTCCCAGTTTTGTCAAGTGGCAGGATTGCTGAAACGGAAGCTAAGCAAAGTGCTGCTGTGGACGGGGTCAGCAGCAAAACATATTGTAGTCACCTAAAAAAAAGTCCCATCTAAAAACAATCTACAGCAAAATAAATGTACGCTATATTGAGCGTATTTTCATTGCTTTACCTTTCTGTCCGACCACCCATTCCAACAGGGAAGTCATTAACAGCTTCAGTCCAATCTGTGCTCTCTTAAAAGCCACCAGACTCCATTGACAAAAACAAAAATTTGAGTTCACTGAACACAGGAGCTGCTGGTCTTCTGCTGTCTCCATCAGTTTGTTAGTTTGTGTCATTGTGTGACTTTGGTGAATCAGAGTTCACCACTTCAAAGTCAAAGTCACAAAATAACACAAACAAAATAACTGATCGAGACAGCAGTAGACCAGCAGCTCCTGTGTTCAGTGATGTTAAATCACTGTTTTTCTCAATGGAGTCTGGCTTTGAAGAGGGCGATTTAACAGCTTCAGTTTCCTGTTAGAAATTGTTGTCTGACGACAGCAATGGAAATTGGTAAAAATACCCTCAATACCCCGTTTTAGGTGAGACTTTTTTCAGATGGCTAAAATACATTTTATTGCAGACCCCTTCAACAGCAGTAAATTGCTTAGCCTCCCCATCAGACTCCAGGGTGTTTCTCTATACTGGGGGCATGCCGACTGCCATGTTGTGTAGGTAATACACCGACTATGGGTAAGTACCTTATACAACCCCACTTAAAAAAAAAAAAACTAAACTATCCCTTTAATCTAGAATTTGATTATGTTAGAATCAGTTCAGGTTAAGATCCAATGATAGACAAACTGAGTAGCATTATGGATTTAAAAATACAGTTGAATGTATCAAAACATATCATAGAGGGTTGGCATTGCCACTAGAAATAAAACTTGAATGAATGGCCACTATGATTATTAACTGATATATTAGCTTTAAGAACAGGCAATATGTTGCTGTTAATGCACTATGTAAGGTTGTGGGTTTTTTTAATACCTCATCATCATACTACAGTCACGTAAGTTATTGTTTTACTGAACTCTTCCTCAGGATTTGTTTTGTTTTTATATGGAGTTTGCAGTAGCAGGTGTGGAAATGCTTCTTGTTTCTTTTCAAGGCTGTTTAATTACATTATTTGTAACTCCACAAGTAAGTGCTGCAATGACCACAAAGAAAAGACGGGTGCCTTTTGTCTGATGAACTGAATTCACAGTAGGGATCTAACTGTCTGTGATAAGGGCGAATAAATTTAATAACTCCAGAGATGCATAATGTAATTGTATAAATCACTATGAATAAAAAATGAATAAAATATACTGTTGGCCTTTATGGAAATAGACATGTTGGATTAGTACTTAATGCTGCATTTAATGTCTACACGTAAATCCTCATTCGATTTCAGTTGATGGATGGATGTTGACCCTGATGTTAACATGGATGTTGACGTTAGCATTTTGTTTATTTTTGTCCAGCCTCGTACAATATAACAACCTCTCTATTCATATTTATCATGTTGCCTATGTATCATGTGGCAGCAAACATGCTTACAGGCACAAAACTAGAGCCAGTCCCACCACTCTCAGGCTCTTTGTGCTGTTTTACGACTGCTGGCTTTGACATTGCACAATGCAGATAAGACAATACTTAACTTATTATTATTATCATTTTTTTATAATTTCATTTATTTATTTAGTTTTACCATGAAGCTACAAATATTTTCCTTGAGCCTCTCTGAGTGGGAAAATACATGACCCTCACTCCACCATAAGTAACATTATTTCACAGTTTCTGGCTATGATTAATGGTGTGATTGTGGATTGTGTTTTAAGAAAACACGCCTTTAAAACCCTTTTGCGTGTTTTGTGGTTCTGAGGGTATTTAAAATAAATACATAATAAGACCATTTAAAGTTGAATGTCCCCTCCCTAAACCAAATCTAAAAACATAACTCCCTGCCAATGCTTAAAAATGATTTGAAGTGCCTGCCCTGTTTTGCACCACCCCCTCCCCTCTCATAAAAAACAGTCCCTAGGTATATATTATTTTGTTGATTAAAAGGTAGGTGTGAAGAACTTAATTTAAAGGATGAGAAATTAATTGTCTTAAAATAAAAGTCGTTGTGTTTAGCCGAGACAGTGGAGTTTAGTGTTTTTTAACCAGTGCTACACTTTGATTGCCGCTTCATTGACGCCCATAGTTGGGTTTTCCGTTTATTACAACATTTCTGACGGCACGTGAAGGCAGCACGGGGCCTGTAACTACTTCCTGTAAGGGAAGCTCAGTCAGCTGTCACAATCTGCAAAACGAGAAGAGGGATCACAGGCGAAGAGAAACACACAACAGGAGCTAAAATGTCTAGTTTTTCCAACAAGTTTAGCGAATACACGATGACTCAACTCAACGAAATACTGGAAGACGACGAAAAACTCACCAATATGATACAGGAGATGGATGAGGTATGTTAAAGCTATTCGCTTTTGTAGTCCCAACGTTAGCTTCTCACTGCTTTTTCTCGGTCACTGTTTTTCCCTCAACCCCTTTGTTGTGCTTACCAACATAGTCTCGGTACTGTCGCGGAAATGGTCGCTTCGATTCAGGTTTAGGCTTTTTATCATGAATGTGTGTTGTCAGCCAAACTTAAATGTTGCCAACCCTAAAATAAGGTACAGTGTGTTAACCTTGGGACGGAGCAGGGGCGAGCATTGTCTCAAGTTTGAACAGTCGAGGGTTCCCTGTTTGCGACATTGCTCTTCCAAAAAATTGGACTTACCCAGACAACAGAAGCCCGTCTACATCCAGTATTATATCTGAGCAATATACTTTTTAATGACCACATTAATGGTGAGTCATTTTCAGAAAATATTGAAATGTAATTAATGGCCTAGGTCGTCCTGCCAAACTCCACTCACAAACCTGCCAGTTTATGACTGACTGCACAGGTACACCGATACCGAGGAAGACAAAACTGAACACCATTATCTAACACGTGAATTATTAACCAGCTTAATGAACACCTGGAAACGTAAGTAATGCTAACAACATTATAGCATCCGAGATGTTGTTCGCATCAGTTATTGTTGAGTAACCCTATATGCCGAATCCCCAGATTATTGAATACATTCAGGACAGGTCTGAATATAATGCTGCAGACTGAAGGTGTGTGAAGCAGTTGCAAAGTAACATCAATTGACACTGTCAGAGTTGCTTTCTCCACACAGGTCACATGCTCATTTCTTTTTCCTCATGGCTTTGCTCCAGCTATTTCCAATTAATGTGTACCTGCTTTGCACTTTATCTTCCATAAGTCTGCCCTTGCAACGATAAGCAGCTGATAAGCCTGAGTTTTTCCATACACGGAGCGATTACAAGCCATAGTCCTCAGAAAGCTTCCACCACAGACAGAAATTTGCCATATCAGGAGGGAGTGCTAACAGATTTGACTTCTTTTTTCATACAGGATTTGTGCGTCCGATTATTTCCCACACTGCTGCTTCCAAAATAGTCAATTCCAGTGTAGGCTTAATGTACCCTGCTCAATCAGCCCCACCAGATCCCAGTGTTGGAAGAATTTTCCCACCGTGCTTATTTTTTGTTTTCACTGTAAAGTGCAAACTCTCCAGGAAACACTCTTCTTTCTTTTCTTACCCTCCAGTGTGGATGCTATCAGTAATTAGAAACATTAAACACACATTGTCAAGACACAGGAATTTTTCTCGTCTGTTGTCATGGTGCTGTGTCTCACACTCTGGCATTTTAGCTCATTTTGCGTGAGAGCGAGGACTTGCTGCCTTAAATGTGATGAAAGCCCCTCTTCTCAGACACCAGAAACTGTAAGCTACTATATGTCAGCTTAAGAGCTCCATATCCAGTTTACCTAAAAAAAAAGCAAGAAGAATACAGTACGGTATTTTTAGCCGTTTGGATGAACATTGTGCTGTGAGCTGGCCTTTTGTGTTGTCAGTTCTGTTTTTGATCCACACCCTGTCTGATTGTCTCCATGGTTTCATTTTCCTCCTCCAGAGAGCTTACAGAGAGGGAGGGACTTGTTTACTGCAATGACACTGCAGTTGTTGACTTAAATTAGTCATAAGATTATGGGAGAGATGGAAGGGAATCAGACAAGTGAAGACACGCCTGAACCAAAGGTGGAACTGTCTGGGAAATTCTTTCTTTGTAATACATTGGAAGGAAACAAAGGCAGCGGGTGTCATAAGGCATTGAGCGAAACTCGAGAGTGCTGAGAACTTCTGACTATACAGCTGTAGTATATAGTCACAAATTCTTGGCTGAGATGTAGACACATACTGTGCTGTAGGCAATGATATCTTCATTTTGCAAAACACACTGAGGCAACACGTGTTGCCTTTTGAATAATGCAAATGGCTTTGTCATGAATTTGTTTAGATTCTGTACATCCTGTTTTTCCACATGAACTGACCTTAAATGTGTCATATCTGTAGATAACATGCATCACTACTGTCCTGTAATACACTAAATGTGACTTGTATGTATGCATGTGTGCAATAGGGGCCTATTTTTTTAGGCAAGCTCAGGCAGCCTGACACATTTCCAAAATTACAGAATCTTTTCAGCAACATTATGATCAGCTACCTTTGAGTGTCCACTGTACTAAGGCTCATATGATCTTGATTTGTAGGTGACCCAGTTTCATGTCAACGCATGATGTTTCGGCTCATTTAAGCTTTCTATTATACTTAACATTTTAAAGCAATATGAAGATTAAGCTGAGCACCATCTCTCACATTTGGCCCCTTATCTTTTTGAGGTCTTCACTAATCCAGGAATGGGCTTTACAGAGCATGCTTGCTGAAGTTCAAGTTCAGTTGTGTCAGTTTCTAACAGAACAGATTTAATGCATACGAGTCTTGCTCAATGGCTGTTTAATTTAATGACTAATTATAACACTACAGGTAGATTGTTTTTGAGTCTGATACTAATATATATATTTGGGAACTGAAAAAAATGTGATAATAATATATTGGATGAGTATTTTCACAATACACATAACATGAACAAACAATACTGATATGGATTTCTTAGATTTGTTGCCAAGATACATACTGAGTGATAAACTGTAAAATCAACTCGTCAGTTCTCTCTAGTGCATTAAGTACGTGACGGAGACTTAAACCCAGTTTGGTGTTTCTGTACTGCTGTTTCTTGTAACTCATCTGCCGACTTACAAATCAATGCAATATATCTACAGTGAGCTAATATTGGCTGGTATCAGTCTAGCTCTAATACGTAGAGATGCACAGATTTATTGGCTGAACATTAGTATCGGCTGATATTTGCCTTGTTGACTGCCATCAGCCTATC